AGTCAGTGTGTGTGTGTGGTCAGTCAGTGTGTGTGTGTGTGGTCAGTCAGTGTGTGTGTGGTCAGTCAGTGTGTGTGTGTGTGTGTGTGTGGTCAGTCAGTGTGTGTGTGTGGTCAGTCAGTGTGTATGTGTGTGTGTGTGTGATCAGTCAGTGTGTGTGTGGTCAGTCAGTGTGTGTGTGTGTGTGGCGTGTAGTCTTGTCTCCCCTCACCTGTCAGTTGTGTCCCTTGTGTCAGTTGTGTCCCTTGTGTCAGTTGTGTCACTTGTGTCCTTGTATTACAGGAGACCAAAGCCAAGGAGGCCCAGACCCGCAAACAGGAGCGCAGCAAGAAGAAGGGCAGCCAGCACGAGGAGGAGGAAGGCAAAACAGAGCTACTGAGCAAGCCGCGCGACTACATCGTCAAGTTCTCCTTCCCCAACCCCGCCCCGCTCAACCCACCCATCCTGGGCGTGCACTGTGAGTGGTCACAACACTTCTCTCCCTCCCTTTTCTTCCTCTGGGATGTGGGGGTTTTCTTTTATTTCCCCAAGAACAACGATGATTGTTCCTCATGTTTGTTTCCCTGTACTCTCTCAAGCTTTAGATTGGTGGAGTCTGGCAACGCTTACTGTCTTTTTACTGGCCAGTACAACTTGCTCCTTTTTCCCTTGTTCTCACCAAGTTCTTGTGGCACCCCCACAAATGACCACCACTCAAATGACCACTCAAATGACCACACAAATGACCACACAAATGACCACGCAAATGAACACACAAATGAACACACAAATGACCACGCAAATGAACACACAAATGAACACACAATTCTCCAGCTATTCTCTCACTATACCCAGTGTGTGGTTGGCGGGTGCTCTGGTGTGGTATGCTCCTTCTTTCCTATCAAACATCTATCGTCCTTATCTCCCCTTCTTCTTTTTTATGTTTGTTACTCTCTTGTAACACCTCTAATCTTCTGGCATTCATATGACCTAATGCAGTTGCGAGCGCCGTAAAACCTCTACTAAAACTAAAACACTATTCCCACAAGTCACCTCACAAATGACCCCACAAAATTAATAACCCCACAAATGACCACACATTTCTCCACCTATTCCCACACAAATAACCGCACATTTCTCCCCCTATTCCCACACATATGACCACGCATTTCTCCACCTATTCCCACACAAATGACCACACATTTCTCCACCTATTCCCACACAAATGACCACACAAATGACCTCACATTTCTCCACCTATTCCCACACAAATGACCACACATATGACCACACATTTCTCCACCTATTCCCACATAAATGACCACACAAATGACCTCACATTTCTCCACCTATTCCCACACAAATGACCACACATTTCTCCACCTATTCCCACACAAATGACCACACAAATGACCACACAATTCTCCACCTATTCCCACACAAATGACCACACATATGACCACACAATTCTCCACCTATTCCCACACAAATGACCACACAATTCTCCACCTATTCCCACACAAATGACCACACAATTCTCCACCTATTCCCACACAAATGACCACACAAATGACCACACATTTCTCCACCTGTGCCTCCCCCAGCTGTGACGTTTGGGTACGAGGGCCAGCCCTTGCTGTTCCGGGAGTTGGACTTTGGCATTGACATGTCCTCTAGAGGTGAGTGGGGG